AGGAAGGAAGGAAGGAAGGAAGGAAGGAAGGAAGGAAGGAAGGAAGGGGACTGCGGGGTCCTTGGTGCTCTCTGAGCTGGTTGGTTTTCTTGCAGACGTCTCATGACCCAGCTAGGGAACGTCATCAGGGCTACAAGGATGGGGTTTGCGGGGAGGAGGAGGAGAACCGAACTAGGGAACCTAATCAGTGCCAGAAGGAAGATTACAGGGAGGCGGAAGAGGAGGGAGAAGAGAAGGAAGAGGAAGAAGACATAAATACAGAGAAAGAGAAAGATAGATGGATGGAAGGAAGGAAAGAAAATGTGAAAAAAGAGAAGGAGGGAGGGAAGGAAGAAAGGAAGGGTGGCTGGGAATCCAGTTATTGTTGAGTGACGAGTTAAGATGGGTGAAGTCATCGCTCAATCTTGAGAACCTGGCAGCTGGAAGATGGGGGGGGACTTCAACTCCCAGAATCCCCGGGCTGGCATGCTTTAACCGGGGAGGACTTCAACTCCCATAATTCCCTAGTGGGCCTGCTTTAAAAGGGGAGGACTCCAACTCCCAGAATCCCCCAGCCTGCCAACTTCTGATTGTTTTCTGATTTTCTCCATACTTCCAAGGATTGCCTGAGGCAAAATGCCCATTTTGGTTCACCGGCCGCAACGTCAATCAACGCTGTCAAATCAGCCCGATTGGCTCCAGGATCTCGGTGACTCGCAATACAAAGGTTGAAAAATGAGTCAATTGATACCCGCCATTTTGCTGAGCCAAAAACTCCCCCCCCCAAAAAAAAAGTGGATTAAAGAGATTCCACAAATTTGACACATTCCAGATTTATATTCAAATTGTAAAGTGGAGAAATTTGAACTCGGAGCCTTTTCAGCCACAAAGGCAAAACAAATAGGTTAGTCCTCGACTTACGACCATAAAAAGCGCCCAACGTTTCGGCCACTAAGCGAGATGGTTGTTCAAAGTGAATTTTGTCCCAAGTTAGAACCTTTCTGGCCCAGTTGTTAAGTGAGTCACACAGACACTAAGTGAATCCGTCTTATCCGTTGATTTTCGCTCATCAGGTGGTTGCAGAAGGATCGTGTTACCCCTGTCATAAATACGAGTCAGCTGCCAGACGTCAGAGTTTGGATCATGAAACCAAGGGGACGCTGTGACGGTCATAAGTGTGAAACACGGCCCTAAGTCCCTGCAACCATCATAAATGTGAGTCGGAGGCCAAGCGTCCCAAATCCAGAGAACTCTCAACAGTTTGTTTAATGACCGTTCCAAGTTACAACGGCACTGGGAAAAGGGACTGTTGCTCGCACTTAACGACTGTCACAAATTCGGACGCTTGGCGATCGGCTCGTATTCATGACATCCTGGCCTCCCGCATCCTCTTTCAGTGACCAAAGTCAACATACGATCATGTGGCTCCCTTTAAAAAAGTGCCGATTTGCTTCATGACCATGGCAAAAAATGTCATAAAACGAGGCAATATTTGCCGGAAGGTCTTGTTTACAACCAAAATTTGTGAGCTCCGTGATGGTCGGAAGAGGAGGAGTAGCACTACGTGCCAGCCGCCGAGCTTCCCCAATTTGGTGACCATGGTCATAAGTGTGAGGAACGGTCCTAAAGTCTCAGTTTCGAGGGCCGTTGTGATGTCGGCTGCTAAACGGATGGTCGTAAGTCGAGGATGGCCCCACTCTCCCTTTCTCCTCACTCCGAGGAGACTTTTCGAACCCCCCAAATCCAGGAAGCCCAGAAAGAGAAGCCGATTCTGTACAAAATAATCATCTTAATTCCACCCGATTTCACTTCCTCGCACTTTACACGCCGTTGCAAAGTCCCTAGCCCGCCAAGTCTGTGGCAAGCGCTTTCTGCATCTTGTCTTTGAGATACTGGGTCTTCTTCCACTCCGTGTTCAGGTTGAACCATTCGTGGTAAGGAACCTGGGGAGGGGAAAAAAGAGACGATTCGCATTTTCCAGGAAGAATCATAGGGTGGGAAGGGACCTTGGAGGTTGTTAGGTATAACATTGATACCAAATATGGTTTGGGTGAATAAATAT